CCCTAGACCCAGAACGGAGGCTTGTAAAAGGAGCTTCGGCTACCGTGGGGCTGTGTTATGGAACGATCTTCCGGATGAAATAAGAAGTCAGGCTTCAATATATCTTTTCAAAAATAAACTTTCTAACTTTCAAATTTAATACTAAGATTAAGTAGTTGTAAATATGACAGGATTGTATATATGTTTAGCTAATTTCTTTTGTTTTTGTATTTTTACATGGCTCCTTGGAAGAGCACTTTAGTGAAAGGACACCATGTTACCTATTTATGTATTCTTTAATAAAGCTTCATTCATTCATTCATTCATTCATATACTTATATGTACATTAATATAATTATGGTAAAAGTTCCATCTATCTAATTTAAAATTGTACTCATACAGTTGATTTCACATCACTTTTCCCAATTTCCCTGAATGTTGCGAACTTCGTTGTGAAGTTCAAATGTTCATACTGAAATTCACAAGCCGGTTTGTAAACAAAGCCTCTAATTGGCTTATTTTTGCTAAGGGACCAATCAGAGGCTTTGTTTACAAACCGACTTGTGAATTTCAATGTGAACTTTTAAACTTCACAACGAAGTTCGGATCGAAGTTCGCAACATTCACGGAAAAGTTATGTGAAATCAACTGTAATGGCATAAAATCGTTCAGTTATGGGGAAAAAATAAAATATTTGGTCAGTGAAAATGTTTAGGTGCGTGACGAATTAATTCTTGGTGGGCAGTTGAAGTTTCAGCTTACTTTTATAAGGTTTCATTAATTGGTGGACCTTCTCACTGATCTCACAAATACGGCAGTTTGTCATTGGGAAACATCAAGACGGCCTTTATTAATTTTTAGTCTTCGTCTTCCCTAACAAAATTCGCACGGACTGGAATCGGCATCGTGACTAATAATACTCGAAATTTAGCATAATTCTAATTTTTGGATATTCTAGCTATCTCATTGACAAAAATTAAATTGTTTCATTTAGCTATATTACTTAACCCACTGGCATTATATTGACGTTCAATTAGTTGGCAAACACAAATATTGTACTAATTAAAATGCTTAATTTGGAGACAAACTGATTATAAAAAGATTCTTTTTGTTTATCTTCTTATCGTTAAAGATTCTTATCTTTAACTCAACAAAATACGGCAAAGCCGTGCATGTATTAGTACTAACTCGTCCGCCATGACAAGATTATAGAATAGAATTAATGAGCCTGGTTTCCATATAATTATATGGTCGTAATGGTCCGTAAAAATAGAGTCACGATCTTTCTCAACGGCCAATTAATGATAGTTTATATATACTTGTAAACCACATGTAAATTGAATAATTATTCTCTATAGTTATAATCACTCCGCGTACTTTCACTCCGCGTAATTTCGGCTGATGAGACGATCATGACTCAATCTTTACGACCGTTATGTTACGACCATATGGAAACCAAGCTTTAAGGACATATGAAAGGAACTGACAATATATAGCTATTTATTATATGGATAAGGGTATTTTATTGGGAACTAAAACACTCGTATTGATCATACGCCACTACATCCGGGAGTTGAGTGGCGTATTTTCCGTATGGTGACATAACATTTCCCGCCTTTTTCATTGTTGTTGTTTTGAAAATACAAATGGCCTTTGGTTCGTATTTAAAACGAAATTAACGTTGGAAATAAAACGAAACCATTTAAAAGACATATTGAGATAACCAAAATTTATTCTGGTCTTATGTTTGCACTATAATTTTAAAAAATATCGCTTTTATACTGGCCTTTTGCGTGCTTATTTACATGTCGTCTTTGTGTGTATTTTTGTCACTCTGAGTAAGTCCATATATTAAACACAACATTAAACGATTGCGAGAAGATATGGATTTATGTTCTCGTGTCAAAAACAATATCTCACTCGTTCGCTGCGCTCACTCGTGAGATATTGTTTTTGCCACTCGAACATAAAATCCATATCTCTTCGCAACCGTCTAATATCCTATATATATGATCGCTAATATAACTTTTGATGGTCCGCAAAGTGGCCGCCTACATTATAGGACTAAAGCGCCTGCTTTACATTTTTTTGTTTGCGCGAGGGATGTAATAAATTGCTTCCCCGATTGCGTGGAAAAACTAACTATATTTACGATTGCGATACTGTTATGGGTTGCGGAAGTGTCTCATAATTCAGAACTCGGAATCTTTGAATACCGAGGACAACAAAGATTAATGCTACGAAACAATTGTTTCAACATACAGACTTATATTCGACAGAAGTAACATGGTATATAGTTGGAGCTGGGAAGTATATCTATTGCAAGCTCAGATCAAGACTGCTGCAACCTCTTAGTACAGCAGCGAATGAATATATCTATCTACTCACAACAACGTGACTTCCTGCAAAGAACACGTCATTAGGTAAAATTTGAATTATCGAATGGTTGCATCAGCTGCTTGCAAAAGGTTTCTGTGCAAACTCAGGAATCACAAAAATAATTAGGTGTATACGTAAGCGCTGACATACATTGATAAATTATTTACTGATGCTGGTACGATAAAAAAAACAAGGCAATTCAAAATTAAATTAAATCACGAGAATATTTTAGTTGTATACGTGTAACAATATATCATCATTTTGTTTTGTGAAAAACACGTCCGTCCATACACGCACGTGAGTAATTGCACTGACGGAGAAACGAAAGCTTTGCCGGGTCATTCAGTGACATTAAATAAATTGATAAAGTGGATTTCTGAATACAAAACCATTACATATAGATGTCTCTATACTCACGACTGCGGCTTAATTAGGCTGTCAAAAAAGTGCAAAGACAGTCGTCGAAGAAAGTGATGTTCTAATCGGAATGGGTGCATGCACACATGTATAATAAATAAATGCATGCATGAATAGTAGCATCGTCCCTATAGATCTACTAGTTTCGTTCTTTTAATAATCATGGCTAGTTTATGTATATTACAATGAAAGACAAATATTGCTTGAATAGCCAAGTATTGCTTGAATATTCTAACAAATTTTGATCAATTATAACTAGTTTAATCTTATTTTTAGCCCTTGGATCACGATGTATACGTCGATAAGTTCATGCCATTAACGCAATAAGGCACTTGCCTGCGTGATATGCTAAAGTCGCGTGAACGTTTCTACGGCAACCAACGCGGTATAAAACAATAGCACTTATGGCTGGCGAAATAGATCTTGCCAAATATGGGTTACGTTTAAGATTGTCAAGCAGGCTTTAGCATATATACATGTAGCGCACTTATGCTTATGTTATCTATACTTATTTTGTAGAACAGGTGCTTGCAGACAGTATAAATAATTTAATACTATCAGTTACAAGTTAAAAAGGCGTGAATTCTACGTGGTCATTGATGGAAAAAGCCACTCTTGCGGCGTGCTTCGGAATAATTGCAGTTGGCACTTTAGTTGGAAACATTCTCTTGGTTGTTGTTTTTCTAAAGAAACGAGAATGGCTCGATAAGGCGCACACATGTCTTCTGCTGTCTTTGGCTATTCAAGATATCTCAACCGCAGTATGTTTATTGGTGATACCTAATTTTCTTCTATCTTCTGACGTGTACAAGTTTCCATCACATCCAACTCACAGACGGTTGTACTGCAGTATAATTTGGTCGCAATACATTCCATTCTCCTTGTCAATCGTCTCCATATATACGTGTCTTATGTTGGCCATAGATCGCTGGCTTGCAGTTTTAAGGCCTATGTCTTACAGACGCTATTGTTCCTCAAAAAAATTAATTGCAACAATGCTGATTCTTCCCTGGATTGCGGGCTTCGGATTTGAAATAGGATCAGCATTAAATGTAAAAGATTTGCAACTGCGTAACGGATCCTATGGTTGCATTTTGAGTGAATATCATAGTTCGCCTAAAAACACCGTCACTGTTTTGTTCCTGATTTTAGGAAAGGGCTTTTTACCAGCAATACTGATGGTTATAGCATATGCACAAATGATAATCAAATTAATGAAAACATCGTCACGAGTGTCGCGAGAAGCCGCTTTAAGTGGCATACCTAATTCAATTTTTTCGAACACCCGTCACAATGAAAGACATTGTTCCCTACAGAGGATTACAAAGATGGTCTGCGCGGCTTCGGCTCTAGTCATGATTTGCTGGCTCCCTGATCAATTGTATTTTGGTATATTTGAGTTGGGCTTGACGAAGAGAGATCTGTCCTTTGAGAATCAATTACATGTCTTGGCGTTCTTAAACACGTGTCTCAATCCATTTGTATACGGGTTTTCCAATGGTCAATATCAGGAGGAGTTTAAAAAGATGTTGTGCTGTTTCTTTAAGCAACAAGCACGCCCTCAGGTGAACAGTACCAATGATTTAGAAGAACGGGATCCACAGGTTTGATTGACAATACTAAAACAACTAATAAGCTCATTTTCATAGAAGGCTATAGTAACATATATGAAATTCATATAATTGACATATGTCTTAGGGGTTCTTCATATAGAATCCGGGTTGGCCCGCTTAACGAGACAACTCAGAAAGCGAGATCTCACTGTGTAGGTATTTTTATAGTAATTACAGTGCGTTTATAATTATATGGAAAAGCGGGCTGGGCAGGTTGCCGAGATCTCACTTGAAAGAGGTGAGATCTCGCTTACTGGGATGAAAATTTCTCCATAAAAACTCACAAGCGGGCCTGCAGCTCGGCTTCCATATAAACAACCCTTAAAATAAAGCAAAAAGAAATCCCCAGGGTCGGAACGAACAACTTGTGTAGATAGACAATAGTATTTCATGTACTGTCTCTACTAATTTTTGTCACTCTGGAGAAGGCAACAGAAGTCAGAAATATCAATTTCTGAAAATAGCTGAAAATTTAGCGGATTTTTACTTTTTATCTGATTATATGTCTAATCCATAACACTTTGATACTATCTCACTATATTATTCTTACACCTTTTATTCTGGCAATTACGTACATGCACTCCACAATATATGCTTTCTCATATACAATAACATTAATTAACATATTTCATATGCAAAAGTACAAAAGGCCGGTTTACACGACCAGTGTTTTTGGTCAGGGTACCCCTAAAAATGGGCACCCGTGCCCAAAATTTTAGGCACGGCACATCGGCACCGGTGCCCGAAAAATTGAAGGCGCCGAGACGTTCTTCGAGACGAGGTAGATTCGGCACCTCTGACTGGTGGTGTCGTGCCCAAATTGCGTAAGATTTCCAAAATATCTCTTCATCGACCTGTAGACAGGAAAGCTCCGACTTCAGTAAATTGGCCCGCAGTCGGGCATTTGTAGTTAAATTAAGTCATTGTTTAAATAAACTGATCCCTACCGGGGGGTTAGGGTAGGGTAGGGTAGGGGTACTCAGTAACCCCTGTACCCTACGCTATGTAGGGGTAAATGTCAAAGAAATTTTAAATTTGAGAGGAGAAAAAATTAAAATAGTTTTAATAAGAACAAATGCAAAGTCGAACAAAAAACGTCACGAAACGGGCTCGAACTGAGGTGTCGCTCATAAGCTGTATATCAAGCCGGCGCTTTCCTATCGACAGCCGCTAGTTAACAACTAGCCAAAAAGGAAGAAAAAAACAAGCGAAGAAACAAATTTAAATAATGTAAAACCACGTAATAATCGAGGAGTGGTATGGCAGGATGCTGCAACAAACGTTTTGATTGACGTTTGGGGAAATGAAGTCCAAATGCAGTTGGAAAACTGCAAAACGTCAAAAGAAGTATCGAAAATTTTCGATGTAATCATTCAGATATATTTAGATTTTAGGCCTTATTTATTGACGTGAAATTTCTAAAATAAATAATTATATGTGTTTATTATACCGCCCAAGGGGAAAAAGCAATTTGTAATCACTCGGAATTTTACCAAAAATAATTTTATAGATTCAACCACCTTCACTTTGTGAAGGCTTTACAGCACGAGATGTTGTTAACAAAGTGTCTGTATCTCTTCTCGTATTTCTTGCAAGATGCCTGTGAATGTTGCTCTAGCTAGTGCTTGGAAATTTGGACACCACTGTTCATCATTGAATTAGAACAGTAACTAAGTCAAACCAAATAGCAGTCCTTCGATGCATCTACACCTCTCGAATTCATGGCGGATGAATACTAGACAACACAACATTTACCTAAATAAATAAATCCTTTCGTGTCTGAACGTACTTATCTATTATTGGAATGGTTTTTTTCTCGGTTTCCGGCCGATATAATATTCTTCATTGTTTCAAAATATATAAAATAATTTTATTTCTATCTGCCAACTTTGAATTTTATACATGACTTACATGAAGAATGGGTTAACGTATAACTCAACCGCAAACAAAATATACCGTAGTAAGCAGAAAGTAGAGGTGCCGTTTCCCGATGGGTACGGTGCCCATTATAAAAGTCTGTCTAGAAAAAAATTGTCGAGTAAACGGGTGGATAGCGAACTGCATGAGCGTTATTGCGTTTTTTGTTGCCTTTAGTTGGCGCAAAAACACAAAGTTCGCTGATCTTAGTATTAATTTTAGTGATAATCTTTGTAAAATAAATCATTCATTTTATTCATGGTATGCTAGACAAAACAATAATATTGTCACTTTAACAGCTAAATTGCACTGTTTTGAGGTCCTTATAATTTTTGAAAAGTTAAATTCGCGTTTATGTATGATGTAATATATAGACTTACGCACAGTGTTAGTTTTACGTGTGTATACTATATACCATATTTGGTATTTATGTGGATTAAATATATTTTAATAATAATTATTATTCGGTCATTGGGAAGGCAGACTTAGTATTTTTGTAACGATCGATGCGTCACCGATCGTAAAATGGATTTAAGCCTGGTTCACATTGATCGTAAACATCGGCGATGCCCATTGTCGGTGGTCATTGATGCATAAAATGTTTTGTGCATTTTCTTCTTCGTTGCTCACAGACAATGGATCGTAGAACATCGCCGATCAATGTGAACCAGGCTTTAGAGGATATCAAGATACGTGCATGTCCGGTCTCGTGATACAGCTAGAACATGTATATATATTTTATCCCAATACTTTCTATTAATGATTTCTCTCTAGTAGCTCATTTGTAGTTGTAGTAAGGTTCACAATGAAGTTAAAATAAAATGGAAATACTCGTGGACACCGTTTTTTTGTTGTTGACTCAACTTTGAGAAAATGATTTATTCGCAGTATGCTTTGTTTTGGACGTACTTAGATCACCAGATTGTTGATAAATTATGCAGGGCGTCTTTGTTTCCTGAGCACTACACGGATGATTAATGTTTGTAGTAGAAAAGCGGTTTAATTAAATGAAGCATATAATTATATACTTGTCAGTTGTCAAAACACCCGATTAGGTGCATTAATCGTCTTATCTTGAAACAAAATCAAACATAAATGCAAATAAATGAAAAATTTTATGTTTTCTTTTATATGCTTGCATGTTTGATTGCAACGCACGTGTTTTGATAAACGATAAAATATTCAAACAAAGTTGAAGATATTTACTCGCGAATAGTTTTCCGTACGGAATATTGCATTAAATGTTCATTCATCATGTTTAATGATGTCAGTTGATTCCTCCTATACTGTTTATCGTGCCCGTTTGGAAAATAGGCTAGTGTTTACCAACAGATTATGTCCAATTAATGATCCATTACATCCAATCGACAAACAAAAGTCATGGAAATTAAAGTGGATGCATGTCAAGAGGACTTTATACCTTGTCGATTGAATCTATAATATGGATCTATTCGTCGGTCGCCTGCTATATCAGTCATCAAAAGACGTCATCCAACATGATTTTGTCTGATAAAAAAACAAAGGTCCATTATACACCTTGCATGAATATTGGCTTTAATGATAAAGTGCCGAGATATCATCCATTGCAAAATGGCTAAACATCACATATAGAATATCCACTTGATTTTTGAATTCGCTTGCTGGACATTGCGGATACTAGGCATGAACTGGACATCAATTATAAAAGGCAAATTAATCTAAATCGATTTATGAAATATGGCTCCGTTTACACTATACTGGATTACTTTTCATATACCGGATTAATTTTCACTCCGAAATAAAAAAACAAGGGTGTTTACACTATGCATGCCGCTTCGCTCTGTTGCCAGCTCACGTCTCGCTGTCGCCATGGAAACAAGTAATATTTTTTGCTAGTATACCAACATTTATTAAAAACAAGAAGTAACACACGTCTTCTTTGTAAAGTATAACTTTGTTTTAAAAAGCTTGACTACCAGACGTTGCTTCCAATTCGTTTGGCTCTAATCCAAAACTGACGAGTATTTCTTTAAATTTTGCCCTATCGAAAGCGAAAAGTCAATGTTATTATCGTTTTCTTTATTTGTTTTCGCCAGAAATAGTAAATGGTTGTAAGGCGAAACAAACGACAGCTCTAAAGTATTGTAAAAGCGAGCAAGTAAAGGCCACAATGGTAAAACGTACACACCAAAACCTATTTTGTACCGAAGCGTACAATACAGGGAAAATATCCAACTGAGGTCTTGCTGTATTGTCAATACAGCAAGATCGAGGTTGGATATTTTCCCGTACTGCCTGAACGGGGGTGTTTGTATTCCGAGTAATGAGTAATGAGTAATGAGTAATGAGTAATGAGTAATGAGTAATGAGTAATGAGTAATGAATTTTCGTACTTGCTTTGGAAAGATAAACCATGAAAACATCACAGTGATTCCACTCACTCCTTGCCGTGAATAGTTATAATGCTGTGATAGTGTCAGCAGTTTAAACTGCATGGTATGATCAAATGTGGCCATAATTTCGCTTATAGCATACTCGTTTTTAGTGCGTCACATATATTAACCAGTTCAGTCTTCAAAACGTTTGTCTCCGAATTACAAGTAAACACTAATATAGCGGTCGACAAAAATCGATTTAAAGAGTAATATCTTGGTTTTATAAACTGAAAACTTAGTTATCGACATTTCGCATGGGAAAAACCTGAACTTAGCCGAACAAAAGGTATGGAAAGTGTTTTCGAGCTTAAAAACGTTTGGACGTCAATTGCGGATTTTATGTACTGGCTGCATGACCGCAGATAGCAAAACAAATATGGCGGCCGAACTGAATTTATCATAAAACCAACCTTTATACGACGGCGCTTGTATTCTACAGTATACTATTGCGAACATGTTGTTCAACTTTTGGACGATCGTTTTGAAGGCTGAATTGGTTAATATGTGACATGCTAAAAACGAGTATGCTATTATATGGCCATATTTGATCATACCAGTTTAAACTGCTGACATCGTCACAGCATTATAATTATTCACGGCAATGAGTGTGTGGAATCACTGGCAATGTTTTCATGGTTTATCCAGTTTCCAAAGCAAGCTAAGTAGGAAAATTCATTACTCATTACTCATTACTCATTACTCATTACTCGGAATACAAACACCCCCTGAACGGTTGAGGTCAGTAAGTTTTTTATTATATGGCATTGTACGTTCGTAAAAAATGGGAAAAAACGTCACGCGAGGGCAAAGACTAAGTACCAAGTCCGACACATTCGCAAAAAAACCCAATTATAAAAAATGTTTTCTTGGATAGTAAAACTACTCTGGAGCATTTTTATATAGAAGACTAACACAGTTTGGATAGTATTCCAAGAAAAATACGAGGTATTTCGTCATTTAATTAAAGAAAACAAATATGAAAACAATAAAATTAATAAACAGTATCAATCTCGTTCCCCGAGCCTGCGATCCTCGGGAAGGAATCGAAGGCTCTGGGATAATCCGTTACCGGAAGCCAAGAATCCTGGCTAAGATTGAACTACGCATTCCATTTCAATAGCCAATCAGATTCCTCCCTGAAACGGATTATCCCAGAGCCTCGCGTTCCTTCCCGAGGATCGCAGGCTCGGGGAACGAGATTGAAACAGTATATGAACAAGTACGTTTTTAGTTCGCTTCATCGCATATATTTATGTCTTTTTATCTAACAAAAACATACATTTTCAGGGAAAATTATAAATCTGTGGCTGCTGTAGTTGAATTTTTTATTTAGAATGGTGTCAAATTCCTCCTTGGATATCTGCAAATAAAATTTACAGCTCGTCACATAGTCAAAACACAACTATTCCTGACTTTTATAGTTTTTATAAACATTGTAAAATTCACCTTGTAATTTCGACTTTTGCTATCAAAAACGTATTGAGAAAGTTCTTTAATCACAGCACAGTTGCTCTTTTTCTTTCTTTTAGGTTTATTTTTCTTCGTTTTGAATAGTTTTGAAAGATTTTTAGACACTTTTTGCCGTTTGAAACTCGGCTCTCGTCGCAGGGCAATAAAAATTACGTATTGCCCGTGGGCAATACGGGAAAAGCCTGCCTTGTCAGCAGCCAATCAAATTGCGTGATTCATCAAAACAAATGCTTGCCATATAATAAAATATACAATTTTATTTAAACACGGTCAAAATCTTCAGTTTACAAATGGTAAGCATGTGATATTGTCGACGTTTTGTCTAATGTTATCCGGGAAATTGTTCCAAGATTTTGCCGCTCTACAGGGTGTATCAAAAAAAGTAAGACAATTTTGAAATTGCTCTCAATTCCACAATTCTGTTCATGAAATGTAATTTTTGCTATATATGGATTGCTTGAGTTCTTAAATTATGGAAAATATAAAAAAATTTGAAAATAGTAAATTTTGCTATCAAGGGGTGTGGTCAACTTTTGCTCTCCTAAAAGTGGCTTGCGCACGGAAATGACAAACGGTATTCTTTATTTGAGTTTATGTATGAAAAGTTCGCTATTCGTTGCATTTGTGATAAAATTTCGGCAGGATTTTACCGAGTACAAATCCTCCGAAAAGCCTATGAAAACGTTACATTTTTCTCTGTTGGTGCTGTTCTTGCTTCATTATGAATTCATTTTTACTCCCATGAGAGTTCCGTGGAATTTCCATGGAATTTGTGCTTTCGAGTTGTTTGTGCTGAAACGCATTTTCTCGTATAATACCCCGTACACTTTGAAATGGCGATGCCACAATTTACTCCGCAGCAGAGAGCTTTTATGGTATCAGAGTTCCTCCGTAGCAACAACATAAACTTGGTTCGCCAAAGTTCACGAAAGAATATCCAGATGCATGTACGATGCCCTTCACGTGCGAATACGTGAAGGCATCGTACATCTGGATATTCGTTCGTGAAACTTTGGCGAACCAAGTTAATTATTAATACGTATTAATACCCCTATATATATATTAGCGTTAGAAAATAGAAACCTATGAAGGACGAACTTCGTTTAGGAATAATACTATAGCTACTATTTTACATGAAAAGAGCAAATATCAGGTTAGACAACTGCATTTATATTCTGGCTATTATATATAATAGTCGGAATATAAATGCATGTTTTCATTTCATGAATTTCATAAAATTCTGTAGACATACGTACCCTAGCTGTGACAGTAAAATCAGTCTTTCTTCTCGCGATTTCAATTTCATGTATCAATGTATGCTTTTGTGTAATTCATTTTTTGTGTAGTTTATGCAGTTTGGCTACGTTAATTGAAATATTTTCTTCTCATCAGGTTCATTGTTACGTTACTTGTCTAATACGTTTCTAAATTCTCTTGTGTCTTGCCAACTTACACCCACAACTAAAGTGACGTAACAATGAAGCTGATGAGAAGAAAAGATTTCAGTTAGAATAGCCTAACTGAACTTTATATAACATGCACAGAAGAATACATTTCATTGATACACGAAATAGCTACAAATCGCGAGAAAAAAATTGCTTTTTATGGATTTTACAGGATTTTATGAAATTTATGAAAAATTATTAACTGCTATTTATACATAAACCGCTATTTTATTTAATATATCAAAGTGCTATTAATATTCTGACTATTATTATTATATTCTGACAATAGTATTATTTCAAAACGAAGTTCATCCTCCATAATTATATGTTTCTATACTTTCTAAGTTCTAAAGCTAATATATATGTAAAGGATCGGACGTGCATTTTATTGGTGGAAAAACCCGGTTATTTGTTTTTCATGATGCAAAAA